TGCTGCTGCTGCTGCTGCTGCTGCTGAGGAGGGACTTTGGCAGCAGCAACTGGAGCCGCTGCTGCCGCTCCTGCGGCTCCATTTCGAGGAACCAGCTGAGCCTCGCGGTGGCCGCTGCAGTGAGTGTGGCCAGGCTGGGCAGCTGCTGCTGCTGCTGCTGCTGCTGCTGCGCAGCGCAGAGAAGCAGCAGAAGCAGCGGAAGCAACCAAGCCTCACTGGAGGCAGCAGCTAAGGTGCACACAAGAAATAGCAGCAGCAGAAGCAGCAGCAGCAGCAAAAGACAGCGCATTCCCTGTAGATGCCTGCAACTGACGCCACTGCTGCACCTTGCACCCACTGCTGTTGCTGCTGCTGCTGCTGCTGCTGCTGCAGGCGTTGGTGCGGGGGATCGGATCCCTGTGTCTGGAAAGAGACAAAGGAGACAGTCACGCTGCGGTGTCACTGCAGCTTGCTGCTGATCTCTGGAGAAGCAACGCAGCAGGAGTTGGATGCCATTTTGTGTGCATTGGACCCGCAGCACTTGCTGCTGCTGCTGCCCTCGGGCATGGTGCAGCAGCTGCAGCAGCAGCAGCAGCAGCAGCAGCTGCCCAGCCTGGCCACACTCACTGCAGCGGCCACCGCGAGGCTCAGCTGGTTCCTCGAAATGGAGCCGCAGGAGCGGCAGCAGCGGCTCCAGTTGCTGCTGCCAAAGTCCCTCCTCAGCAGCAGCAGCAGCAGCAGCAGCAGCAGCAGCGCTTTGGTGCAAATCAAATTGAGCCAAACTGTCGCTGAGCTGTCTCCCCGCCTGTGGCTTGAAGCTGAGCGGGGTGGGCTGTACGTACAGGAGGACTCACCGTATGCTGCTGCTGCAGCAGCAGCAGCAGCAAGTGCTGCTGCTGCTGCTGCTGCTGCGGACCCGCGCGAGGCCGCAGCAGAGGTCGACGACCGCTGCATTGCAGCAGCAAGAAAACGGCCAGCAAGAGTGCATATTGTCCGTCTTCGTGCTGCAGTTGCGCCGCTGCCTGCTGCTGCTCCAGACTCTGACAGCAGCAGCAGCAGCAGCAGCAGCAAAGAATGCTGGTGAGGCCTTTGGATGCACCTTTTGCCCTCAAGACTGCTGCGGCTGCTGCTGCTGCTTCTTCTGAGGGGCGTCGGTAACGCACTTTATTGTTTGCTGCTGCTTGTGCTGCTGATGCTGCAGCAACAGCAGCAGCTGCTGCTGCTGCAGCAAGAAGAGACCACGGTTTGAATCCAGCGGCCTTGGCAGCTTTTGGTGGAAAACACTGAAGCCGCAGTTGCTGCTGCGTGCTGCTGACGAAGCAGCAACAGCAGCAGCAGCAGCAGCAGCACAAGGAGAAACAAGAGGGCAGCAGCAGCCCGTGGGCAGCGCTGGGGTGGACGACATGCTAGCAGCAGCAGCAGCAGCAGCAGCAGGATCAGCAAAACGAAGGCCGCTGCTGCTGCTGGGACCGCTGGAAGCTTCAGACATCAAACGGCAGCTGCAGCAGCAGCAGCTTCAGCAGCAGCAGCAGCAGCAGCAAGCGCTGCTGCTGCCGCTGAGCGCCACTTTAACGCATGCAGGCAGAGGGATAGAGGTGCAAGGAGGGACCCAGCTATTCAAGGTTAGCTGCTGCTGCTGCTGCTGAGTTTTGTGTCATTGCTGCTGTTGCTGCTGCTACTGTTGCTGCTGCTACTGTTGCTGCTGCCGCTGTTTCCAAGAAGAGTTTGCTGCTGTTGCTGCTTTTGCTGCTGCTTGGCTGGCACCAGCCGCTGTTGCTGCTGGTGCTGCTTCGAGTGCTGCCTACCTAGTACTACTGCTGCTAATGCTGCTGCTGCTGCTGTTGCTGCTGCTGCTGCAGGAGCGCAGCAGCGCCACACAGAGCAGCCGCTGGGTGCTGCGGGGGCAGCTGCACCCATCTCTTTTTTGCCTTCGCCGTCTGCTGCAGCAGCAGCCAAATGCCTTACAAGGCGTGTAAGCAGCAGCAGCAGCAGCTGCTGCTGCTGCTGCTGCTGCAGCGCTCCCCTCAAGAGAAACGCTGCAGCAGCACGAAGCCCCTGCCGAGCGAAGCTCGAGCGGTGTAACTTTTAGGGTTTATTCGCCAACTGAGGGTTTAGGGTTTTGACGAGGGTTTGCGTCTAGGGTTTGGACTAGGGTTTAGGGCTTAGCTTTGAGCTAGGGTTTAGGGTTTAGCTTTGAACTAGGGTTTGGGGTTTAGCTTTGAACTAGGGTTTAGGGTTTAGCTTTGGGCTAGGGTTTAGGGTTTAGCTTTGAACTAGGGTCTAGGGTTTAGCTTTGAACTAGGGATTAGGGTTTAGCTTTGAGCTAGGGTTTAGGGTTTCTGCTGAATTAGGGTTTAGGGCTTGAACTAAGAAGACTAGACACATCTAATGGAATTAAAAAGGACAAATAAATTAAAAAAAGAATTAAAAAGAAAAAGAAATAATTAAAGACAAAAAGATTTAAAAACAATTAAACCACTAATAAGGGTCTGACAAGTCAAAGGGTTTAAAGCGGACAAAACCGCCATGGGCTGCAGCGCCTTGCTGCACCCGCCGCCACAGCTCTTCCAGCTGCTGCTGCTGCTGCTGCTGCTCTTGCTGCTGCTGCTGCTGCTGCGGCAGCGTCAGCAGCGGCGCTGCAGCAACTAAGTCCACAGTAACTTGGCCGGGGTAAATCTCTTCTGCTTCCGCTGCGTCCTGCAGCAGAAGAAACGCAGCTCAGGTGTACGTACACCTCAAAAACGCAGCAGCAGCAGCAGCAGGAGCTGCAGCAGCAGCAGAAAAGACGTGGATGCTAAAGCAGCAAAGACTGCACCGCAAACATGAGCAGTAGCAGCAACATCAGCAACAGCAATAGCAGCAGCAGCAGAAGGAGCAGAAGCAGAAGCAGCAGCAGCAGCAGCAGCAACTCACCCTGAACCTCCAGCCAAAGGACATTTCTAAAGGCCCTTCTGCTGTATTTATTTCGTAGACTTTCCGCCAAACAAATTCTTCAGCCCGAGCCCTGCGCCAAAAACCCTAAACCCTAAACCCTAAACC